CACCTGGCAGACAAAAAAGGCCCCCAGGTGCGGTTCGCCCATTTTTTGCTCTCTCTCTTCCTCTCCTTGGTTCCTCTCCCCTGCTCTTCCTCCCTTCCCTCCCCTTCCCCTGATCCTGCCCCACTCGGTTCTCTCTCTCTCTCTCTCTTGCTCTCTCGCTCTCTCTCTTGCTCTTGCTCTCTCCTTGGTTCCTCTCCCCTGCTCTCCCTCTCCTCCTTCTTACCTCCCCCTTCCCCCCCCCCCCTTTCCTTTTCCCCTTCCCCTTTTCCTGCCTCGCTGGAATAAACTTCCTAAGATATGTCGTTGTGTCTGGTGTTTTCAGCTCACGGTAAAGAACCAGGTTGCGAGAATTAGCTGCGCGTAAAGTCTCTTAATATCCTATAACCTAAAAATAGAACTCTTACATTCTTTTAAATAACTAACACTTATGTTTTGTTAGAAATTCGTAAAGAAAATTACATGAAATGAAGGTTACACAATAAAATACACATGTAACACCACCTTGCTTTATGGCACCCCAGCTGAATTACCTTTCTTTTAGTGCTCTCATTCTCCTGTTGTTTGGTAATCTTACTGCCTGCTTTCCTTTATCATTTTATCATTTGTATATTCCTAAGATTAGTGTTGTTGAGTATTTTTAGAAAATGTCAGACATTTTCGTAGTAGCTGTAGAAATACACACCCATTGTAAAATTTTGAGACCTTCTGTTATTCCAGATCTTAATCAATACTCAATTTTGTTAGACTTGAAATATTATGTAACAGATATCTTTTCATATGTTTGTATTTGTATGTCTTAGAATACCTGTTGTGTTCTTATGGGCTCCATTTTCTCTAGCTTTGTTTTTGTGCTAGATTTTGATTGGTTGTATGTGTTTCACATAGATCCTCACACTTGGTGCTTTGTCTTTTTTTCCCTTAGCTGCGCTTTCTAAGGGAAGGCAGTTCTTCTTTGAAAGTAGTCAGTTGTAACACGTTTCTTTCTTTCTTTCTTTCTTTCTTTCTTTCTTTCTTTCTTTCTTTCTTTCTTTCTTTCTTTCTTTCTTTCTTTCTTTCTTTCTTTCTTTCTTTCTTTCTTTCTGTTGTGGTGCTATTTGAGTCTTAAAACAGCCTAATCTGAGGCTATAAAATATTAATAGCATAATATTTTATATTGCAAAATATTTATGATTTTGTGCTTTATGGGTTACTTTTTCATCAACTCAGAATGGTGTTTAAAATGCATTTAATTTTTAAAGATGCATTTATTTGTGTGAAAGTCTGACTTACAGAGAGAGAGAGAGAGAGAGAGAGAGAGAGAAAGAAAGCACTGCCATCCATTCGTTCACTCCTACAGTGGCTGCAATGGCCACTGCTGAGCTAAGCTGAAGCCCCAGGATTTAGGAGATCCATCCCCATCTCCCTTGTGGGTGGCAGGGGCCCAAATATTTATGCCATCTTCTGCTTTTTGGCGGGTCATTAGCAGAGGGCTGAATTGAAAGTGGAACAGCTGTGACATGAACTGGGGTCTGTACAGAATGCTGGTATTACAGGAGTTGACTTTACCTGCCCTTACCACACTATTGATACCTGAATTGTTTATTTTAATGTCTAAGGAACAAAGTGATTGAGAGACAAAGGCAGATCTGTCTCTTGGCTCACATCCCAAAAAGCCATAATTGCTGAGGATTGGCCTGGCTGGAAATCAGAATCATGGAACTCCAAACAGGTCTCCCATGTGGATAGCAGGAACTCAAGTACTTAAAATATCATCTGCTGCTTTCCCAGGTGTATTAGCAAGAAGCTGAATTAGACACAGAGCAGTCAGGACTCAGGTTGTCACTCTGATGTAGAATACTGACAATGAAAAAGGCGCCTAGCCCTCTGTGCCACATTGTTGGCCATAATAGGTATATGATTTGAAGTTGAGATCTAACTTTATTTATCCTTAAGAGGATGCATTCTCCAACCAGCCATCTTTGAAACAACTATTTTTTGTGCAAGCAAAAATATTCAGTGCTACTTCTGTTGCAAAAAGTGACAAATTCATGCTCTATTTCTGGATTTGCCATTTCATGTTGTTTATTTGTTATCCCCGTGTCAGTATAACACCATTGTAATTAAAAGTAATTCTTGTTATTTGGTAAATTAAGTTGTCCTATTTTATATTTTCTTGGCTCTTATTTGCACTTCTGGGCTTTCGTACACATCTTAGAATCAACCTGTAAGTTTGAAACAAAGCAGAAACCCTCAAGGAATATTAAAGAATTGTACTGACTCTCTAGTTTGGGAATTGTTATACAACGTGAAGTCCTTTAATAAAAAATATGGCTTAAAACACTTTCTGTCTTTCTTTATAAGACATTTCAAAATGCTTTCTCATGTGAGTCCCTTGTCTATTTTTCAAGTTGCTTTCTAGGATCATTGCATTTCCAGGGGAGCACGGTAAATGTTATCTTTTAAGTTTTCTTCTGAAAAATTGTGATCAGTATGAGGATTTTCTTTTCTGCTCATGCCTAGCAGCTTTACTAAGCTCACATATCTGTTGCCTTTGTTGAGTATTTTAGATTTTTCTAAAAACACATGGTGAGTAATAGCTTTATTTTTCCTATGTAATCCGTATGTTCACTTTTCCTTGCCCTACTGCATCTGCTAGTAACCCTAGAAAAATGTGACTGTAAATTAGAGCAGGAAGTATACTTGTATTATGCTTTGTCTCTTGGAGACATCATTAAAGGTATAATATATTTTGTGTGGTCTTAAAAAATTACATAATGTAGAGTTAGCTTTTCTTTCTGGTATACAGTTCTTAAAGTTGTCACACATATTGAGATTATAAGTAACTGTCACCATATTCAGGATAGAAAATAGTTTCAACATCTTTAAAAAAAAAAAAATAGGGCCCAGCGTGGTGGCGCAAGTGGTTAAAGTCCTCACCTTGAACGCCCGGGATCCCATATGGGCGCCGGTTCTATCCCAGCAGCCCCACTTCCCTTCCAGCTCCCTGCCTGTGGCCTGGGAAAGCAGTCGAGGAAGGCCCAAAGCTTTGGGACCCTGCACCTGCGTGGGAGACCCGGAAGAGACTCCTGGCTTTGGATCGGCATAGTATCACCTTTCTAGTCAAACTCTCCCCCATTGCTAAACTTCTGTCAGTAGCTACTTGATGTGTACCTTATCCCTGTGTTATATAAGTGGAGTTAGATGGTGGTTAGTCTCCTGAGATTGACGTCTTTTACTCTGATGCATGTGACATTCATCCATGCTGATGAACTTTTCCAGTCACCACAGATGATTTTGGATTTATCGGTTTAACTGAGCATATTCTCTGGCTCTTGAGATGCTCTGCTTCCTTGGACAAGGTACCGATCACTCTTTGTAGTGGTTTCTTCATCTGTAATAGTTAAAATGATGGCACCTATCGTTATTGTGGGGAGTAAAGTGAGTTAATCCATAGGAAGTCATTAAAGCAATACCTGATTCATAGTAAGTGGTCCACACATGAAAGCCATTAATATTGTCTCCAATATTAACAGAAATTTCTATGTAAAAAGCAACTTAACAAGTTCAAACAACAGCACTAAAAACAGTTGGCCTGGGGAGTACTGAGCAAGTGGCTGAAGTAGCAGGGGGGGACATGGAGTGGGATGCAGCAGCCAGGCTGCCTGGTCTGGCCACAGGGGAATCTGATTTCACTGTAAGTGCAGTGGAAAGTCTGAAATAAAACAGCATCTGACTCAGGTCTTCAGTAGATTATTCAGGCTGTTTTGAGGAGCATCAGTTACAGTGGTGGTAAGAATGAAAACAGGTGTTAATCCAGGGGGCAAGGTGGAGGTGGCTCAGATTATAGTGGTGGCTATGGGGATGGGGACACATGGTTTGGTTCAAGGGATTGTTTGGATGTAGAAGTTAGAGAATATGTGGGATCCAGCTCAGTGGTCACATGATCCCTCGAGCTTTGTAGAACCACTGGCCATGATGATCAACAGCAGCCCTTCTTCCTCAGGAAGCCTTCCCCACAGTTCTGCCCATGCACTTTCAGAACCGAAACTTCAGCTTTCAAAGTGATTCATGAAATCCATTTGGAGAAATAGCCTTTCATGTATTTTAAAATGAGATCTGCCTAACTTCTTCGTTACTCTTTCTCACAATTCCAAACACATTTATGAAAAATGGGCTTGGTCTGCCAAAACTGTCTACCACAGCATTTTGCTTTGTGCTTCTTTGCAGCATGTATGGTTCGGCGCCCTGACATCCTTAACTGTTCTGCTGGAAATAAAGTTGTCTTGGCTGCTTCGTGTTTAGCCAATGGGATGGTAGTTTTAGTGGTTGGCTGGAGTTCTTTCGCACACTTGGGACATATTGTTGGAATAAACATGGTTAGATTCACATTAAAATTGGACCAGAAAAAAAAGTTTTGTTTCCCTTTCTGCCTCCATTTAACTCCACAATCTCTCTTCTGAAAAACAAATAGTCTTGACTTTGTGAGGTGACCTGAAGATTAAATCAGCCCTGGGGGCTTGCATTCAAGTGGAGGATTTTTTTTGTTTTTTCCCTCTCACTTTTTTTTTTCTTTTTCTTGAAAAAGAGTTAAAAATAGAGTTCTCTGATCTGGCATTGAAAGTTTTCTTTTATTTCCTGCTAAGTCTGTTTCTTAACAGTTCTGTATTTGTTCTCCATGGGGCCTTGTCTTCCAACTCCTCCTTAAAGACAAACACCTGACCCATTCTTTATCTGGAACACACTCACTACGGTTTGCTTGGATTTTTTAATCCTCTCATATCTGCTTAATTTGGGGCCTTCCATGATTTAGGATTTGTTAAAAAAAAAAAAGTGGGAGTCCTCCTTTTATCCTAAAGTATTTGTCATGTCTTGCCCCAATTTTTCACATCCCTTTTGAGGCTAATGTCAAATGGTGGTATTAATTACTCAGTTTTTTTTTTTTTTTAATACTAGGGCCCCTGGATTCTAGAAGTGCTTGCTTGAATTTTGTGCCTAATTCTGTTTCTTTTGTAATCTTACAGAATACCAAGCTGCCATTTTACACTTGAAGAGAGAACACAAAGAAGAAATTGAAAACCTGCAGGTACGTTTCTTTGATTCTTCTGCACTGATTATTGGGTATTTGGTTTCCTTATAGAGTAGTAAATATTTCTCTTGTGTTGAAGTATTGAATAGAACAGTATCGGCAGCCTGCTCTTACTAGTATGCCCTGAGTTTATCCTGGGAATGAAAGTCTTAGTAGAACTCACTTCCTAATTTTATAGAAATACCATTAATATATTTGCTTTCATTAGAAAAAAGATTGTTTTACTTTTAATGCAGGATAGAAAAGAATATTTCTTTTTGGACTGTTTGTCTGAAGTATTATAAAGGTTATTTGTCCTGGACACAGTGAATTATGTTGTGTTTACTCCTGGTCATGTGTTCATGCTTGTATGTCCCTTAGCACATTCTGCAGTGCCCTGTCACTCAGCCTAAGGCCTTTAAGGAGCTGGGAGGAGCTGGGTCAAGTCATTCCACATCCCCAGGAAATAGTGAGAAATGAGCAAACTATCCTACATTGTGGAGCCCTGAATGACTCAGGGGTCACTTCTCTTGTCTTATCATCTAATTGCCATTCCCTTTTGTTTGGTGTATACTTGCTGTATCTATAATGGGAAGCTCAGAATATGAACTTTAAAGAACCAGCAGGGTCTAGTTACTTGGTGGCTGGAGCAGCCTCATACTTCAAGAGAGTAACAGCACAATTTAAATTGAACATTGAACTTCTTTCTTAAGTGCTAGTGAATCTTTTACTAATGTAATGAATTTGTGATTAAATATTTCTTTTTGTAATTTTGTTGAAAAATAGAAGTTGCATATGCTTTTGGTGTATGACTTGCTTTTAAGGAGATACACCTTGTGTGATATGAATAAATTGAGCAAATTAACATATTCATAGCACCCATGTACTTACCATTTGCTTCTGGTGAAAACGCTTAAATTCAACATTTAGCAATTTTCAAGTATACAATGCAGTGTTACTGACTACAGTTGCCAAGTTGATATTACATACTCTTCATGTCTAAAGGAAATTTTATATCCTTGATCAATAGCTCCATAATCCTTTCCCTCACCTTCTGCCTCTCCCAGCCCCTGGTAACCACCATCTACTGTTTGATTCCATAAGTTCGACTCCTCTAGATTCCAGATTTTTCCCTTGGCCTGGCTTATTTCATTTAACATAGTATTGTGCATATTCCTCTCTGTTGTTGGAGATGATAGGAATCTTTGCCTTTGATGGCTGGTCAAGCTTCTTTTTTGGATATGTCTACTTTCACCGTTTCTCTATCACTCTTTCACTGATGGTCACTTACTTCGATTATGTATCTCAGCTTTTGTGACTATGAAATGGATTACATAAAAATTAATCGCAAATAATAAAAATTTACTGGATGAGTCATATAATAAGAATTTCGACATCATTCATCCAGCCAGGTTTATGTAGTTCAGAAGAAGGAATGAGTCTGTTTCTCAAAGAAACAAAAAGCTGGAAAAGTACCTGTGTCTCCTGGGGGAGAAAGAGAGGTGTGGGGCCCTTATCTCCTTTGCTGCATGATGCCCTGTAGAGACCTGTCTTTCTTTTCCTTTGTTCTGCTGTGAAAAAGAGTCTCAGAGAAGCTGAAGTCCTTGCCTATAATTTAAGAAACAGTTTCTTGAAGTAGGCAGGTACAAAGTGTTTCTGTGGCAGTTTCATGAACAGCCAAGTTGCAAGAGTTAAGACTAGCTTTTGTCGAAGCTGTAGATCAGTCCGTGGATGATCCTTACTATTTCTGAATCTTTACGATATGGAGGTGTTATTCTAAGCACATTACATGTAATAACTCATGTTACATGTTTGCAAAATCCCTATGATCTCACATCTCAAACTAAGAAATGTTTGGAAATGAGAAAGGGAGGAATAACAGGTAGCAAAAAAGAAGTATATTGCAATCAATGATGATTTTCATTTAAAATATAGATTTACACTGAAGTATGATTCTCAGTGGGAAAGTCTTTTAAAATTTTAAATTGATCCTTAAAGTTTTTACAACATTTGAAACCCTGTGACCATGTCACACTGCTGCCCTTTGGGTGGTGTTACGGTTTACACATTTAGCTGTGGCTTGAAACTGTTCTAGGAGTCACAGACAGATCATACTTTTGATTGGAAACTGGCACTCTCCATCTCTGATCTGACTTGGAAAAGTGCCTTGCTTGGCTAAAGCAACCTTTTAAAGATTGAATTAGGAATAAATGTTTCAAGAGATGGTAATTTTTTAACATAGAAAAAAAAACCTGGATTCTTGGCGGTTTCTAACAAAAAATCCTGTAACACTGGTGGAATAGAGTTAGTTGTCCTGACTTGAGCCTGCTGGGCTAGAGCAGCCGGTGTCGCCTTCAACTAACACCTGTGCTCTCTGATGTGCCACTGTGTACTCTGGGCAATTTCCCTTACTTGGTTCCCCTAGGCTTTCAGTAACTCCTGTTCTGTGGGCTATATTGAATATAAAAATGAAATAACTTATTTGTCAGCAACATTGACCAAAAAGAACAAACACAATTCATAAAACTAGCAGGCAGTCACCTAGCCTGAGTGTAATTGTTGATACTCAGCATCACACCAAGTACCAGAAGTCCCATCTCTTGTCTCAGGATTTGTGGAAGGCCAGCGATAGAAAAACCAGCATTGCGGTGCTCAACTCTTTATCCATCATTTCTGTTAAGATTTTAAAGATTTTCTTTCTCCAGTTAAGGTCGTGGAGGAGTCAGATGTGTTCTAGCACTTCTTCAATATGAAAACTTTCTATTTGTGACCCTAGAATTATAAGGATATAACCTTTAATTTTTCAGTTTCCTCACCAGCAAAGAAGTAAACATTGTCACCTAAAACACTTTAATTGGACAGTTGACATTTTTAACCCATGGTAATAAGTGTGGGTACCTGATGTTTTTCATCTTATCCCTGCCCTATAGTAGTGCTTCTCTTTAGGAAAGAGCAAAGGACTCTGTCTTAGGACAAGACTTTTCTAAAGGTGTACCAGCTTATGCATATATCTGCCTTGCAGTTCAAAAGCAGAGATTTCTGAATGACTTGGAATGAGTTTGTTTCTAGAACTATGTCTACTTTTGTGCAAACTTGGAATCTTTAGTTTATTGCTCTATTCCAATCTCCAGTGGGAGAGTGATGGCACATCAGGTATTTTCCATGACTTCACTATATTTTATGCCCATTTATGATGTAACCACAGCAAAATTCTCTTGTTTAGTTTTGTCCAAATATTCTGCCTTGAGAGTTTATGGTCACTCCATGCTATTTAGTACCGTCTGCTTCATTTTCCAATTCTGGATAATTCTAGACTACTAACTTCATTTTTGCAAAGGTTACATTTATCCTGTATTATTTGTTTTGTGTTGCTATAACAAAATACCCGAAGTGGGGTGCTTAATAAAATAAAAAGGGTTGGAAATTTTTGCAGCCTGGTACCAGCATCCTGGTGAAGGCCTCCCTAGGGGTGTGGCGATCTGATGGAGAAATGGAAAAGGAAATGTGTCTGCTGAAGAAAGCATGCATGTGGGATGGCCTTGTTTTGTAACAGCCTGGTTTTGTGAGACTTACAAGGAGAGATAGATTCTAGCAAGAAAATCAGTCAGTCCTCTTACAGACATTCCCATCACCATGTGTGTCAGAGGCTCTACCTCTTAAAAGCTGCTGTCTTCTGATACCACCACACTGAAGACTAGAGTTCACGCACATGAATTTAGTCAAACAGTATCCAAATCATGACATTAACTTTAGAGGTTCTCATTTATTTCAGAAAGTTTTGTATGGAGTAACCATTGTGCAGAAATGTATAACTACGGGGTATAAAATAGTTCAGATTTACCCATGCAGGCTATGAGAAAAATCAGTTCTTCTACAACACAAATAACACACTTTTAGAAGTTGCTTAAGAACTAGGATTTGAAAGTCCCTGTTACAGCTATTTTGCAAAAAACATTTCTGTATATGGCTTCTCTTTTTCATTTTTGTAGTCCAAAGTTTGAGTCTGATTTAATTTTATTTGTGATGTCACTGTGAAAGAACATAAATCTAACCATCAAGATTCCATTTCAACTTCTTGCACTGTGACGTTGGAAAATCAGTCTGTTCCTCAGATGCTTATTTTTTCACAGCTTCATGAAGTGTACAGTAATAGTAGTATTATGAGAAGAAGTAATGTAGAAGTAACCTTCTTCTAAGATTGTTCAGTATGATGTACTTTGAAGATGCCAGTTATGTGGTACCTACTCAGGAAATGATATAGTCTTTGAGGAGGACTTTTTAATGATCTTCCAGCTGTTTGTTTCCCTCTGTGCTCTATGTCAGGGTTGTCCAAGCCAGGATTTCCCTAAACTCATTTTTCTTGAATTAGAAGACTTAAAATGCTCCTTATGCTCCTTGGCCAAAGACTTTTGTGGCCAAGTAAGTTTGATAAATTCCTTGTATTCCCCTTGTTAAAGATTTATCTCATAGACAGAACATAAGAGAAAACTCTTTAGTAATTTTTACCCTCAAATTCCATTTATGAAATACTATGCAATATTGATTATTATCATTCCCATATGGAATCTTCTTGAGTTAAAGGTAGTAGTTCAATTTTCCTGGCATGCTCACAAGGTTTTATTAATCTGTTCCTTGTAGACACCTTGGAAGGAGCAACAATTTTATTTCTGTCCCTGATAGTACATAATAAAGTTTTTGCCATGTGGATAACTTATTTCTTAGAACGTGCTATAACTGAAAAACTGAAATACTTTTAATCAAATTTCTACTATGCACCAATTTCTATAATATGCTTTTAACATTAGTATTATGATTAGAAATATAAGTAAGGCAGTAAGTTTGATCCTATATTACAGGCAGTAGAACATGAGGCTCTGAGAGTATGGCCTGTCAGAAGTTCTTTTTTTTTTTTTTTTAAAGATTTATTTATTTATTGGAAAGTCAGATATACAGAGAGAAGGAGAGACAGAGAGGAAGATCTTCCATCCGATGATTCACTCCCCAAGTGAGCGCAACGG